GAAGTATTTTTGTTTTCCTCTTTATACAAACACTTGAGACTTAAATTTCTGTCATCGTGCCAAGCCGAGGCAACTCTTTGCAGCATGTCATAGCATAAAACGAAAACCCGCGGCAGCGCAAAATTTTTAGAAGTTGCGGGTGAAAGAACAAAAAAAAAATCCCCGACCCATTTCTCTCTCGCGGTCTCCCTCGATTCTAAAGAGATCCAACTCTCCAAATATTTATAACTGGATCGACAATGGCGCAGCCCCTCCTCCGCCTTCTCTCCGCTCTCCTCCTCCTCTCTCTCGCGTCTTCCCTTCGCTTCGATCTGCAATCGGGCTCCCCCAAATGCATCTCCGAGGACATCAAGATGAACGCCATGGCCGTCGGCAAGTACTTCGTCGTCAACCCCAACGAAGGCTACCCCCTCCCCGATTCCCACAGAGTCAGCGTCAGGGTAAGGCGAAAATCGGGGGAAAAAATCGAGTCCCGGACCCTAACCCTAGCTTCAGTTTGGCGAATTCTCTGATTTGAATATATTTGTTAGGTGACGTCACCGTATGGGAATAGCGTACATCATGCCGATAACGCGGAATCTGGAAACTTTGCGTTTACTTCGTCTGAGGCTGGGGATTATCTGGCTTGCTTCTGGACGCCGGATCACAAGCCGCCGCAGATGATGACCGTGGAATTTGAATGGAGGACTGGGGTTACTGCTAAGGACTGGCCGAGTGTTGCGAAGAAAGGGCAGATCGATGTAAGTTAGATTTTGATTTCTGGGGTTTTCAGATTTAATCTTGCTGTCATTAGTGATTATGTTTGTTAAGTTAGATCTTTTCTTCTTCAATATGGACCTTTGCCCGTCAAACCCCGGGCTTAAAATTGCAGCTTTGAAGTTCGCATAGTTGTTGAGAAAGACTTTAATTTTGTTTAGCAAAGGTGTGCGAGCTAATCGCGGCTTTAAGTTTCTTTTAGTGAGACAACATGACGATGTTCGAAGATCAACTCTTATAATAAATTTTAAGGGAAATGGAGGCATTTTAGAGGTATTAAACATGATAAAATTTGATTCTAGTAAATTAAGAATTGTGCAGCAGCTGCTAAGCAGTAAGAATGGCTGGAGACTTCTTTGTATTGAAAATATCAATGTTTTTAAGATAGTAGTGTAATAGTTATAAAGGCCAAAGTTACATAATCGAAGGAAATCTTTATATAATCCAAGGAAATCTTTACTTGTGGTCTATCTTTTATTTCTGTGACCTTGTTCTCTTAAATGTAGGATAGATGTTATGAAGCTTGTGACATTTTTTATAAGAGAAGAACTATCTGAAATTCTATTGTAAAGGGCATCTGCATGCATCAATTTACCTTCAGAAATGTTATGTGGGTTTTAATCCTCATGTTTGGGATTATTCTTAACCGTGCATTGGCTTTTCATTTCTATTCCACGTGAGTGCACGTCTTTGTTCATTGTTATTGTATGTCTTGTACACAATTTGCTTCAGTGCTGGATATGGGATTTTCCAATTCCAAGTAGTTATAAATTAGGGAAAAATGCTTCCAGCCCCCAAAACCAATGAAAACGTGCTCCCCCCAGACTATTTCAACGCTCTCAAAACCCCCAAATTCGTAAGAACTATGCACTGAGCCCCAAAACACAAAGCCCAAGAATTTTACACAGGTAAAGACTATAAAACACTTTATCTCTCTTATGGGCATTGATCACCTCCTCCCCCTCTAGTGCTTCTCCCTGATATCCCTGTCCCCGACCGTCGTCGTCCCTGCGGCGTTCTCAAGCTCAAGTCCGACGCTTCCTCGACCTCTTCCCGTCGACACTTCCTCGACCTCTTCCCCTTCCTCCGCCTCTCCTTCCTCGTCTCCAACCAGGCCATCGTTGAGTCCATGGACGCCGAGAAGGTCGTCCACGTCATCGACCTCCACGCCTCCTCCGACCCCACCCAGTGGCTCGCCCTCGGCCCTCACACCTAAGGATCTCCGAGATATGAGATTGTAGTGGGATATCTGAAGTTTTGAACACCAGATTCCCAAGTGGGTCCCGCTGCCACCGGTCGGGATCTTGACCCTTCACCCTCTTCGCCTTCTCTCAGCACTGCTCCTTCACGTTGTAAGGGAAGCTGCGAGGGTTGGCAGTGTACTGTTCCTGCAGATCATCGAGAGTCCTAACGTCGTCTGAGGCCAAAAGAGGGGAGTCGAGGAGAGAGGCGGAGGCTTAAGGAGAGGAGTGAGGGGATGAGTTTGGGTTTATGGGTTGGGTTCGATTGGCTCGCTTAGATGAAGATGATGATGATTTATTGTTGGGCCTCATTTTTCCCTTTTTTTGTTTTCTTAGGTTATCTGAAATAGATAAAGAACAACTTTTGCTGAGTTGCACCCCCCAGTTGTGTAATCTCCGAGACAAAGATTGTAGTGAGATCTCTAAGATATGGATTGTTATTGAGAAAAGAGGAGATATGAATTGTTATTGAGAAGAGAAATTGTTATTGAGAAGAGAAGCTTTTAACGTCAAAAGCTAAGTGATTTACGCGTTGGTTGTCAAGGTTACGCGTTGGTTGTTAAGATTACGCATAGCTTGTTAAGGTTACACGTTAGTCGTTACGGTTACAGGTTGGTGTTATGATTACACGTTGATTATTAAGGATAAACGTTGGTTGTGAAGGTTACGCGTTGGTTGTGAATGTTAAGCTTAACAACCAACATGTAACCTTAACAACCAACACATAACCTTAAAAATCAACGCGTAACATTCACAACCAACGTGTAACATTAACAAGTAAACTTGTAACCTTCACAACCAATCCGTAAAATCTTCATAAAAATAAAAAAAGAAGGAAATAGAAAAAAAACTTTAATTTTTTTGACTTCTACTATAATAATTCATAAAAATAAAAAGCAGTAACAATTTTTTGGACTTCTACGATGATGTATACGTTTGTTTTAGGTGGTTGGAGTTACCTGGATTTTGTAATAATATTTCACTTTTAATTTTCATAAAATTTTCAAAAGCCAAGCGATTTACGTGTTGGTTAAGGTTACGGGTTGCTTGTTAAGGTTAAGTGTTGGTTGTTAAGGTTATGCGTTGGTTGTTAAAGTTACGGGTTGCTTGTTAAGATTACAGTTAACCTTAACAATCAACGCGTAACCTTAACAAGCAACCATTAACCTTAACAACCAACGCGCATAATCTTAACAACAACGCTTAATCTTAACAACCAACTCGTAACCTTAACAATCAACGCGTATAAATTTAACAACCAACGCTTAACCTTAACAACCAATGCGTAACCTTAATAAGCAACTTGTAACCTTAACAACCAACATGTAAAATCTTAATAAGTAACCCGTAACCTTAACAACCAACACGTAAATAAAATCACTTGGTTTAAGAGTAAAATCAGGGGTTTAAAGGCAAAAACTTACAATCAAGCCTTTTATTTCCTACTACAAGCTGAACACCACCACACTAGAATCACACCACAAGTGAGCAACAACAAGCCTGCAGGCTCTTTTAACACCAAGAGCTAGCATTAATTCAACCAATAGGTAGCAAGAATTAATTCCACGAAGTGCAGACACACCTAGTTGTCATCAATTCTCAAATTAAGAAGAGAGGAACTTCTGTGAAGAGAGATGGAAGAGGAGCTTAAGGTTTTAAAGGAGCTAGGGTATTGGAGGTTTGTGAAGGTGGGCATATGGGCATGCATGTGAATGTGTTGGCACCAACATGGTTGATGACGTGGACGACCTTCTCGGCGTCCATGGACTCGACGATGGCCTGGTTGGAGCGGAGGAAGGGCAAGAGGTCGAGGAAGTGTCGGCGGGAGAGGGAGGGGTCGGGGGAGGTGGAGGTGAGGGCGCGGTAGAGGTCGGTTGAGGGCGTCGGAGAAGTAGGAGGCGATGTGGTTGGCGCAGTTGAGGAGGGAGGAGGTGAATGAGGTAGAGCTGACGCTCGTCGGACTTGAGATCGCGGACACTGCAGGGGACGACGACAGTCAGGGACAGGGACACAAGGAGAAGCATTGGAGGGGGGAGGAGGTGATCATTGCCCATAAGAGAGATAAAGGGTATTATAGTCTTTACATGTGTAAAATTCTTGGGCTTTGTGTTTTGGGAGCTCAGTGCATAGTTCTTACGAATTTGGGGGTTTTGAGAGCGTTGAAAAAGTCTTGGGGGGAGCCATTTTTCATTAGTTTTGTGGGCTGGAAGCATTTTTCCCTATAAATTATAATAGCCATATTGGTGGGGTTAGCTCTAGAAAATGATGATTAAACTTGCAATTCATGATATAGTAGTTTGAGCAAAACATATTTGATTAGTCAATATATTGGCAATCAGGGCCTATAAAGCTTGCTTCCAAAAGCTGGATAATCCTATATTAGAAGGTAGAGAACTTGGAAAGGTGTTGATTTTGCAGATGAGTTAATAAAAAAATAGATCTCTAGAGTGAAAATTTGAAGCTGAATGTTATAAATATGGATGATTGGAGTAGAGACTCATTGATTATCATATTAGTTATTATGGGCAACATTATGCATCTTCCTAGTCTTTATCCGTAATGTAAAAATCATCTTGACATGTACTAATGTGTTGGGCACATTGTAGAAGGGCGAACCTGTGTTCGAACCTCGCCTTCGATGGCGAGGAAGCTCGCCTGTAGTGGACTCGCCTGATGGCGAGGTCGTGCGGGCGATGTTTGTGCAGGCGGATCTTGGGAGGCGAGGTCTCGAGCTCGCTTGTAGGCGACGTTCGATCTCGCCTGCAGGTGAGATGGTTCGAGCTCGCCGGATTTGATGGGAGCCAGCTGGACACAGCTGGAGAGATTGCCCTAGGGTTTCCCTATAAAAGGGAAACCCTGTTCTCGTGTTGAAGTGGCACGGAGCAGAAATTGAAAACCCCTTTGTATTTTGAGCAGCGGAGGTGGAGAATTTATTCTCCCTCCGATCTTTTTGGGCGTTCGTTCTCTCTCCTATTGATGAGAGCCCATTTATCCTGTACTCATTAATTGAGAGGCAGAGTTTGGTGAATTGTATTGGGGTTTATTTGGTTAATTAAGAGAGAGATTGTTTGAGCGGTGATTTTAGATTAAAATCACCTGCTAATTGTTGAGAGATCTCAAGTTTGAGATCTTCTCTCTTATTTGTAATTTCATGTTATTAATAGGAAATTAATTGTGCCGCTCCCGTGGACGTAGGCAAAATTACCGAACCACGTAAAAATATTGTGTTCTTGCTATGATTGGGTGTTGCTTGTATTATTGTGGTCTATTATTGTTCTTGTGTGTGCTATTGATTTGTCGAATCGGCTTCCGCGGCGCACAACACACATCACTTAGGTAGCTGCCTAGGCGGCTCTAGGAACAGGGTCATGTGCATTGAGTGCTAGCGCTATGTGGAGAAATGTAGTTACTAGTTAGTATATGACGTGGCCACTAGAAAAGGCTGCATACAGGGTACCATGCAAGTTTGAGTTTTTGTCTAGTTGATTGTTTTACAGTGACTGAAAAAAGCAATGGTGGTTTCTTCCTGCATTTTATTCACTAGCCGATTATGAGTAACTCAAGTTGCTACTTGCTAGTGGTGGGTCTAGCTGCCTGCAAAATAATTTTTTTTATTTTATATAATTTATAAAATTAATAATTCATTTCCCTAAATATGGATATGCGCTAGTGTAGCTGGCGTATACCACTTTTACGAATTTACAATGCATAATTTAGTATAGAGGACCACCTTTAAGCAGGCCTGGTTTTAGAGGTACCAGGGGTGTAATCATTATGGTCAAAATCAAAATTCTAAGGCGAACAAAGGTTACATAACAATGGAAATATATAGTGTTAATTATATGTACTTTGGCTTAACAACCTGAAACTATGGGGTCAAATATTTCTTGACCATTTTACTGTGTGCCATCAAGTGGCAAAAAGATGCCCTACAGACTTCAAATGTTCGTAGTGCCAATTTTCTGGTTGATGCATGGAAAAATAAAGGGGAACAACTTTCTTTTTTATTTCTCCTCTGAAAATTTAGATTACAACAATCAGTGTGGATTTTCGATATGGAACTTCCATCTTCTAAGTGTTTTAAATATCGGCGATAAATCGGATAATATCGGCGATATATCGGATTTCTAAGGTTGCCGATAGGTTAACGTGAATTTGTAGTCGGTTAGCGTTTTTGACAAATTATCGGTGATAAATCGCTGATAACGGATAATATCGCCCGATAACAGATGTTTTTTTTACCGGTTATCAGCTATGATTTGAGTTACGATGTTGAAATATAAAATCCGATCCGTTTTCACAGTAAAATGAAAAACCTAACCTTCGTGGATCCTGATCTTCAAACCCTAAATCACTCTGGTGGCTGTTCTCCAGCGACGAAGAATCTTCGCCGCCTCGACTTTGTTGCCTCGGACCTTCGTGGATCCTGACCTTCAAGCCTCTTCGTCGCCTCGACTTCGTCACCTCGGCTCTTCGTCGTATTGACATCTTCGGCTCTTCGTCGCCTCGATTTCGTCACCTCTTCGTCACCTCGTCTCGACTTCGTCGTCTCGACTTCGTGAATCTCCAGCGAGGTATCTCTTCTTCATTTCTTCTCTTCTGAGTCTTCTCGCCTTCGTTTTCTTTCTTTTTTTCTCTTCTTTCTTTTTCTTTTAAGCTCGCCTCCCCGACCTCTTCTATTCTGATTATTGTTCTCCTCTTTTTTCTTTTAAGTTCATAATCATTTATTTTGCTCATCTTTTTTAATACTAATTTTCTTTTGGTAGCTTGCTACGGTCATCGGGTGTTGTAAGCTGAAATAACTCCCTCTAGTATTTGTTTGTCAATTATTACTGCTTCGTTTTGTTACACTTTCTCTCTGATTATTACTGTTTTTGTTTGTAGTTAAGTTCTTCTACTTGTATAATAAATTAGTTACAAGTCTTGTAATTAATTTATAGCAAACTTGTAAAGTTGTAATTAATTTTAAGAAAATACTCGTGAGACTGTAATGTATAAGCAAATTTAATTTTAATTATAGTTATTGTTCATTGCATTTAGTTTATAGCAAACTTGTAATTAATTTTAAGAAAATACTTGTGAGACTATATAAGCATTCATTGCATTTAGTTTATAGCAAACTTGTAATTAATTTTAAGAAAATACTTGTGAGACTATATAAGCAAATTTAATTTTAATTACAGTTAATTTTCATTGCAATTAGTTTATAGCAAACTTGTAATTAATTTTAAGAAAATAAATTTTAATTACAGTTAATTTTCATTGCAATTAGTTTATAGCAAACTTGTAATTAATTTTAAGAAAATATTTATGAGACTGTATAAGCAAATTTAATTTTAATTACAAATTTACAATTAATTTTAAACTATTAGTTTTTACTTGAGCAATTAGTTTTAACTACAACTAATTGTTCACTGCAACTAATATTGATTAGTTTTACAACTTGATCCGTAGATAGTTTACAATTGCTATTTTAAGTAGTCTTCCTCAGTTCTTTCATTCCTTAGAATCTTGATGTCATTTTGAACTCAAGTCTGCAACAAAAAAAAAACTGATTGATGTTAGGCATAAAATTTTATGACGTGATGAAATAAATGTAGTAAATATACACCATCCAGTGTATCGCTCCGATAAATACTACTTATCTTCGATATATCCCCGATTTTCGCTATCCGATAAGGATTTTGACCGTCCGATAAATCCCTGATAACCGATATTTAAAACCTTGCTTGTAAGGAACTGTTGATATCTCTCTCTTCCTCTATCTTACATGTCTCTGTGTTTGTTTTTAGTCAAGCAAGCCCAGAGAGAGGGTAGTTGGAATATTTTATGATATACTAAACAAAATGCTAGTTATGTGGAAAAGTGGGAATGGCATTATTAGGTTCTCAGTTTTTGCTTCTAATTTTGTGGAGGAGGACACCACTCTTTGAAATGGAGTAAGAGTTACCTTGACCGGATATCTTTTGGTTTTATAGCACAAGGACATCAATTACATCACCATTTTGGCAGGAAACTTCAGCTGATCTAGTTTTATCAAATCAAATATATTTATTCTGGAAATTATGGATTACTAGAGATGCGTGATTGTGAAAAGAATGTTTAGACTTAGATTTGGAGAATAAATCCACAACTACCATGGCTTTATTTCACTGAGATTTATGTGTGATATAATACTGAAATTATGGGGTGTCAAGGTGATTGATCACTAGAGCACTACTCTTGTTTAACATTATGTAGCATCTATCTGACAGATAAGTGTCTATTAAACATGGGCTAGGTTCCAGCATCAAGATGTTGTTGCTGAGTCGCAAAGAAGTCTATCAATAGTCAATCCTCCATAAAGTTGATCAAGGAAGTGATTGTTGACATATTAGCAATGGACTTCCAATATGGATGATTGTTGTATATGTTTATGCATGTGCTAATGATTTGGGGTTGGGTGTTTGTGCCGTGAATTTCTGCTATGTTGAAGTAAAATATTGGAGGAGAACAAGAATTAGTTGAACCACTATGGAGCATGTTTGGCACATTTTTGATTGATTAATAACTGAAGTACCCTGCAGAATTACTTTTCTACTATGGGAGGTTGAGTGAAGCAGATAAGTACATCTATTATGTGAAGCAGATACGTACATCTATTATGCTTAATAAACCTGGAAAAACTTGCTGCTAATTTATGACACCGATGAACAAGCTTGTGTACAAGTAGGTAAGTTTGTTGTGTCACGCTTCGCCCGACATCTTTATTACTTAACCCCCATGTGTAGTGCACATTCTATTAGAAGAACCCCATATAATGGGAGTATAAATCATATCGGAACCTGTCTTATTATTTTCTCTATGCAGCTCCATTCGATATTAATCTGTGGGAACAGACACTAAAATTAAAATTGAAATAAAAGAATACGAGTCCAGAGTTTTCCAACTGAGTCCTATCGCAGTAGCACTATTACCAGTTTCCATGATAAAATCAGCAGATATCTCCAAAACAAATCAAAATATCATCAAAATCAAACAATACAGAGAGGAGAGATCATCTATCTTGAGATCTTCTGTAGATCTGAGAGATGCCCATTTTATGATTTTGTGATTCTATTGAATATTTTGCTTACTGGGTGTGATTATATGTGTGATTGAAGGGAACCCATTATCAGATTTTGGGTTGTTGGTCAGAGAGAAATATATGATTGCTTTGTATAAGAATATGTTAGGGATGAGAAATTCGGGAAATTGGAAATGGCTTATGAAATCTCCAAAATAAAAGAGTCTAATAATGGAAGTCCATGACTTTATAGCAGGTAGTGAAAGAGGATGTAAAAGAGGTAAAGATCTTGTGCTTGGGAGGAATAGACGTCATGACTCATTGTTTATGTTTATTTTTAATTATTATGGCTCCATAACATTGTCAATGCTGGGGATGGAGGAGGCGGACACCGGTGATGCGTATTGGTGGTATGGACTATGGATCTCATCGTAGCTCTTATGAATGGTGGTTTGTTTGAACAGAAAGACCCAAGTAGAAGATGATATGCTAATTGAGGCGCTTAGTTTTCTCTATTGACAGTAACTTTTTTAGTGTACACATGGCGGGTTGCCACAGTATCCGCATAGAGGTGATTTATAGGACTGGTTCTGATATAATCTTTACTCATATAGAGGGTAACCTATACTATTCAAAGGTGGTTGGGATCAGTTTGAAAATTTTAACTTATCTATCTATGGTGCAAACCACCACATTCCTATAGGGGTTGTTGGTTCTGATAGGATCCTCATTCAATTTTCAAAACCTTTTTAGTTTTTGAGTGTCCTTGCTTGAGAAGAGAACTATTTCTGAAAATCAATGTGTTGAATCCACAAGCAACAGGGGTACAAAATTTATGAATAAGTACTTCTGCGTGACATTGAATTTACTTTGTAATATCAAATTCTGCCATTATATTGTGAAATTTTTCTCATTTTTGAATTGGGATTAATATGTGAAGCCTGAATTTCCAAACCATCATATACACATGATCTTGCTATTGTGCTTAATACCTGAAATTTAGTCAGTCAAGTAATAACCATACGATTTCTTACGAGTTATTTGTTTGCGAGTTTTACGAGTTGAGCAAGATGAAGTTATACATTCACTTACATATGAATATAGATAGATTAAACATCCGGAACTCTGATTGCCAAATTTTTGTAATGATAGATTGATAGGTGAAATTGCTGATTTTTATCTGCCCGTATAATAGCAAGTAGGTGTTAAAATTAGCACATTTATATATTGGATTTCTGCTGCAGGTAATGGAGCTGGAGTTGAAAAAATTGGAGGATATTGTCACGTCAATCCATGATGAAATGTTTTATCTTCGAGAAAGGTGTGATTCTCTCATTGTCATTTGTTCTCCTTTGATTTTTCGTCGGAAACTGAGAATTACTTGAAGTATGCATTATGGTGGTCTTTTCAAGGTAAATGGAAGAACTATGTTGTAATGTTTGTTTATAGTTCCTTTTGCACTCAGAAGTTGACATAAGCTCTAAATTTGAGACATCTATGCATTTCAGATAAATGGTCACGTAAGATCAGGCAGCATGTTGTCACAGACCAACAATTCTGTTCTTATTCATGCAAAATTTAACAGCGATCGTTATGATAAATTGTGCATGCCACATTTTTTTCCTTCTCCATTTATTGAACAGAGACATCAGTATATAATGTGACTCCATCTCTTATTATGAATTTCATGTACAAGAAAAGTTATGAAATAAACTAATAACTATTACCACTCAAAAAGCACATGCTCAAAGAGCAAGCCAAGAGGTCAAGCATCTTTAAGTAGCCTCCATGACATATGGCTTCTCGTCTGCATTGCTTTTAAATTATAAAAAAAGCCTAATTCTAGTGAACTTTAAGATTCTGGATATATGCATGGATTCTCCACTTCGCTTGTTAAATACCCTAATTCTGATGAACTGTAAGATCCTGGATATATATATGACTTTGTTAATAACTAGTTTTCTTTTTGCCTTTGTTTACCTTTTAAATGTTTTACAGGGAGGAGGAAATGCAAGATATGAACAGAGCAACCAACTCTAAAATGGCCTGGTTCAGTTTTATGTCACTCGGAGTGTGCTTATCTGTGGCCGGGTTGCAGTTATGGCATTTGAAGAACTACTTTGAGAGGAAGAAGCTCCTTTGAATCCAGTTATCGATGTCCCTTTCTTTTTTTTTAGGAATAGGCTTCGCGAGGTCTGTCTAATGCATTGATTTGTCTTGGCATGCGGAGGCTGTAAGCTTATTGTGTCCTTGGTTGGGATTTTCACCAAACAGTACCTTCAAAAGCTGCACACTGGATAAATTGGACATTTCCAGATTTATGCACACTTTTGTAGCTCTAGCAATAGGTAGAGAGTTTTCTTCGCTTTTGACATGCAATTTTCTAAAATTGTTATTATGAGAAGAGTGTCGAATTGATGTAGCGAAAGTATAATCAAAAGAGATAATTACTCATTCCCGTACGAGCAAAACGGCACAAATACCAGAAACATTATGAATAGAAAACTTCTAAAGTTAATAATTACTAATCTAAAGGATTCACAAATTCGTTCTCCTTATACATGGCGTTAACAAAGCAAAAGTAATAAAATAACCTTTCCTAAAACAATTATACTTCCTAAAATAAAAAAAATTCTAAAAAATATAAGGAACTAAATTGAATCAAAACTCTTCGACGTGCAGTTTGAGCCTGAAGATGAACTCTTTTGACCCTGAAACTCGATTGGAACAGAAGCTGTTCAACTTGTAGAGCATTTCTCGAGCTTTTTTCTAAAACATAGGAATAATAGCGATTCTATAGAGAAAAATTAAAAGTTATGGGCCGTCGAAGTTGCACATTGAAATTTGTCTAGAAATCCTCCTCTTTTCTTAGACCGTCTTGAGTTTCGCACAATCCGATTTCTTCCAAAAGGCACTAGTAATGTCCTCCGCATTACTGATCCAATTTCTCCTAAAAGGCATTAGCAAATGTCCTCCGCATCAGATATATTTCTAAAGGCTAAGGGTCGGTTTGGCAAACAGAGTAAAACTGGGCCATGACCGGTCCTGGCCCACTTTTGTGCTAACTAGTTTTTGTTTTGGACCAGACCCCCGGTCCAAAACAAAACTAGATATGTTTTGGACCAGACCCCCCGGTCACAAAAAAATATGGTAAGATCCAGCTCAGAATTTTGACAAACAAGAAACAACACAAAATTAGGTCAGGTTTAGTCCTGACCCAATTACAAAGTTGTCAAATACTCTCTTAAGAGTTGGTCCTTTACACCGAACAAATTAGAATTATATTATTATTATTATTTTATTTTATTTTTTGGGTGAGAGTATAGAAATTATGAGCCGTATAATGCGATTTGTGCCAAAGTGAAATCCCAAGTTAAATTTAAGTGCCAAAGTGAAATCCCAAGTTAAACTTAAACCTCGGTTCGAAAGTGTACGAGTATCCTCCAATTTTTTTATAACCCATTAGATAGGCGGTGTACAAAGGTATAGGGCCATTATGGGAGGCGCTACAGTTACACTTTAAACCACACCCCCAACCACATTCCTTTCTCGCTACAGTGCACTGGGGCCCACATAATTTTTTTTTAAGTTCTCATGTGGGCCCCAATGCACTGTAGCGAGTGGTTAGGGGTATGGTTTAAGAGAGTGTCTCTAGCATTTTCCGGCCATTATTATAGGTGTAAAGTTCGAGGCCTTTGAATCCATTCTAGTCCCCTTCCTTGATGCGATTATTCACGAGTATTGTTTTTTGCATCCATTTTTAGGGGCTTTTGGTTGACATTTTTTGCCCTTGTAAAGCTGCCAAAACTGACAAAAACTGTCAGTTTTGGCAGCTTTACTTGCAAAAACGTTCAAAAATGGACGTTTTTGCAAGTAAAGCTGCCAAAACTGACAGCTTTTGTCATTTTTGGCAGCTTTACAAGGGCAAAAAATGCCAACCAAACAGCCCCTTAGTATGGCAGTATCTGTTTCTAGTGGCTCCATGATGGAGCCTTTATTATTTCGATGATTAATCTTCTCTTGCAAACAACAAACCGCACTTTTTGCTGCGACGAGGGAAATAATGTAATGGACAACCTTCTTGCTGCACGCGAACAAACTGCTTTCTGAAATTACTGCATGTGATGTTAAGAGATTGAGAGATGAAAGTTCAATTGTTTCTTTTGTAGTTCTCATTCTACATAATGAATTTTCTCATGTTATCATCCTGCAGATGTAGGTCGAAGTTGATTGACTAGACTACATTAAATCTTGGTGTTATTCTCCTTGATTGTGAGTATTTTCTGACTTATAATCGTGGTTAATTTTTGAATCACGGAGATCGTAGTAGGGGGGACTGAAATCTTAGGAGTTGACATTAATTTATGAGGGATTTTGGTCTCCTTCCTATTGTAGTTAGCTACGAGGGATTTCTGATAACCCTTTTCCAATTGCAATCAAGTGCTCCACCCTTCGTGGATGTCAGAATTGTGGAAAAGTGATACTATGTTAGGATCCATTGAGTCGCACATCAACTTCCTCTAAGGGAGCGTTTGGAAATCGTTACATTTTTGTCGTTTCTGTTTTTGTTTTCAACAAAAAATAAAATAAAACGCGTTTGGCAACCGGAGCGTTTTTTCGACTTGACCCTTTACAAAATCCAAAAAATAAACACTTTTCTCAAAACACTAAAAATGTGTTTTGAGATTCCGTTTTTTCATCTAAGCACCGCGCCCGCCCGCCCGCCCGTCGTCTCGGCCGCCGCGCCTGCGCCTGCCCCGCCGTCGCCTACCACTGCGGCCCGCCGCGCCCGCCAGCCGCCCTTTCGCCGTCGCCTGCCCCGCCCATCGCCCGCCCGCACCGTCGTCTGCGCCGCCGCGCCCGCCCCACCGCGCCCATCGCTGCGCCGTCCGCCTGCCGCGTCGCCGCCGTCACCCTCGTCGCCGCCGCCGCCGTCGCCCACACCGCCGCCACCCCCACTGCCCTCCGCCTATCGGTCGCAGCCAGTCGCCGCCCACCGACCGCCGACGCGTTTGCCGTGCGCTCGCGGCCCACCCGCCGCCCGCCAGTCGCCGCGCCCAGCCGTCGCCACGGCCCGCCCATCGCCGGCGCCTACAAATGTCATTCGCACGCCGCCCGCCGCCCCGCAATCGTCGACGCACCCGCCGGCCCGACCGTTGCAGGCCGCCGACGGTCGTCGTCCGCCCACGTCGGTCGGTCGCGCCACCGGCACCACCCCGTGCATCGCCGTCGTTTTATAAATAATAACTATAAATGGTGTTTTCAAAACATGTTTGAAAAAAACATCATTGCATGGTGTTTTTCTAAAAAACACAACGAAAACAAACACCTCGATTACCAAATAGCTTTTAGGCGTGAGTTGTGCTCAAACTGTTAAGATGGGTCATATTCATTGCGATTCTTAGGGGCTGTTTGGTTGGTTTCCAAAAAACCAAGAAAATGAAATTGGTACAATGAAATCAATAAAAAAAACATTTTTACCCATTTTCATCCCTAAAACTCACCTACAACATCCAATAAAATATTATTTTTATCCTCCAACTCATCTCATTTCATCTCATTTCTTACCTTTAAAAATAAACCAAACACAAGAAATGTGTCACATTATCCAACTCATCACATCTCATCTTATCTTATTTCTAAAAATTACACACATCATCCAATAATATTGTGACAGCTCATCTCATCTCATTAAACCATCCTTTCCATCCATTTCCTCAAAAAAAATGATTTTCTTAAGTATGTGTCACATCATCCAATAATATACCTCCAACTCATCTCATCTCATCTATTTTCTTATTTTAAAAAATGAACAAAACACAAACAACTTCAAAACATCATCTAATAATATACCTCCAATTCATTTCCTTATTTTTTTTAACCAACCAAACAACCTCAAAACAAGTTTTTTAAAAAATCATTCACATCATCCAATAATAAGGTGACAATTCATCTCATCTCATCTCCTATTCTATAATTTTTTTAAGCCAACCAAACAACCTCAAAACAATCATTATAGGAAATAGGTTTCCTATTCTTTGATTTCCCAAATTTTTTTGCCAAACGAACAGCCCCTTATTTTACTTGCATGTAAACATGCCCACAACCATTTTCCACTCGGACAATCGCGCGGTTCGTATTAGTGTGACATCATTTATGAATCAATAAACCCTTTGATTTTACGTACTTACTAGAGAATAATTTTTTATGATATTTTATTCACCTATACCTCATATACGATTATGGTTTTGAGGTTCTCTTATTCTAAATTTGACTTAAAATTTTTGCGTAGTACTTTGCTTTGCTTATATTTAACGCGACCTATCCAACGTCAGTGTCCCATACATCTGATAATATTAGTCTTTCTTCATATACCTGCTTTGTTAAATACAGCGATGTATAGACCCTTACTCGGATCTTAATCCTCCAAAAATTGGGAAAATAGGTATGGTGATAATACAAAAGCCACTTATGATCCTAGATATTATATTGAAAGGCACTATGGTGTTCCCATGGCTTCATCTTAGTTGTTGGGAACAGAATAAAGAAGAACAATTTTTCAAACCAGCCCTATTTTGTTTTTTAATTTTTAAAATCGATCTTTTTTTTAATTTACCAAAACCGATCCGTTTTTTGCCACGTCAGCCTAATCACTTTCCTAAACAGTCGGGGTTGCCAACCCCGACTATTTAGGAGGGTGTTAACCCCCAATTAGAAGCCTTAAACCCTAAAAATTATATCCTAAATATTTGGCGTTGGCAACCCCGACTGTTTAGGAAAGTGATTAGTCTGACGTGGCAAAAAACGGGTCGGTTTTGGTTAAAAAAAAGGTTGATTTTAAAAATTAAAAAAAAAGAAATGGGATTGATTTGAAAATTTGTTCAAAAAAGAATTATGATAGGGATAGTTGGATACTCTCGAATTGCCAACTAATTGGATAAAATCCAAATCCATACTTGAGAGTAGGGCTACCCAAAAAGCCCGTCGCCCCGGGCCCGAAAACCCAGGCCAGACCCGGGTCCGGGCCCGGTCGTCGGCGCCCGGCCCGGAATAGATACTCTCGAATTGCCAACTAATTGGATAAAATCCAAATCCATACTTGAGAGTAGGGCTACCCAAAAAGCCCGTCGCCCCGGGCCCGAAAACCCAGGCCAGACCCGGGTCCGAAAGCACAAAAAGTTGTGCTTGGTAGTGAGGTGGCACAATCCCCTCCACTCATTCAAATGGTTGCATATCCTCATGCACTCCTCAACCCATGTAAATGTGGTCCCCCATTTGAAAGCACAAAATTTGGCTTGTACCAAGCCATACCCAATTCTCATATATATATAATATATATAATATATAATTATAATATATATATATATATAATGTATGTATATTATACACTATTATATGT